ACACTTCATTTCCTTGTTGCTTCAAAAATTATATATGTATGTATGGGGGTGTTGAAGGGGTTCCACACTTGTATTGGCCCAAATTTTATGTTTGAAAAGAGAAACTCTGACGTTGTATAGCATGAACTTGTGAGCCATAACAAAATGAAAGAATTGGATCTCCATTTTTTTTTCCATACAACTAACCGTTTGCCAGAAAATCGTTATCAACGGAAGGGACAGTCATTACATCGTTTTCGAACGCTTGCATACGGAGGTGATCGTATGTTGTAACGCATTTGAGACTGCCATTCTATAGAGGCGTGCAGTACAGGAATACTTGCACTTGGTCCGTTAATATAATCACAATATCCGAAATAAAAATTCTTTGTGAAAGGAAAAAAACTTGACATTTTGTCTGTTGACAGGTTTCAAAATGTAACTTTTCATAAATTACTTTTTCTACAAGCGTGCGTGATTCACCCTATACCCGCACGCAATTCAGTTTGGTAAGTGTCATTTTCCCGCAACAGTGCGGGAAAACAAAGATATGATGAAATCGCTAGTAATATAAGTGGTTGGTGATCGAATATAAAAGTTTAAGTTTGTTTGTTGCAGTATTAATTATGTATGTTCAGAATCATCCATCAAATTGCACTATTTATTGTAAAAATTAAGAAATATTGAGAAATAAAAATTGATTCTTATAAAAATCACACTATAGATTTGGATTGATCTGACGGGAAACGTCAATTTGTCATGCCAATCAAACCTCAAATAAGTTTGAAATTGTCGAAGTGACAGACACAGCGTTACTGTCATTTTCGATTCAGTGGAAATGCCACAATGTGATCAAAAACTTCTAGCTATAGGGATTTGATACAGATGCTTTATCACCAACGAAGTCTTAAGAAAGGTATGAGAAGCTATACACGCGTTTTATTGAATGGTGCAACAATAAAGAAATGAAGCAACCGAATGAAGAATAGGTATTTTTGGCTCATTTCATAGAAGTGTCTGGAACCTAGAGACCAAACTCCTAATGGGCCTGCTGGCTTCCGCAATGAACCAACATAATGCGTCAAACTGTACCTAAGTTCACAATAGCTATTACTAATAATTAATAGATAGAGAATATATATCTCTTGTGAGTTGTTCCTATTTGCTTGAATAATTAATTGAACGATTCAATCAATTTCCTACGCTTGTAGAAAAAATATTGTTCCTAACTCATGCGGAAAGTGTCTTTCCCGCACTCGACTGCTTGCCCGAACTCTGCTTCGCGTCGTTCGTGTCAACGGCAGTCACGTGCGGGAAAGAATCACTTTCCGCACTTGTTAGGAAAATTACTATTCCTCTCACGGGAAAAAGTGAGTACTTTTTTCCCGGATATAAGCAGGTTCATTCAGTTTTCAACGATGTTCGAATTGTAGTTGCAATATAAATACAAACACAGGGTGACATATTTGTGTATGGACCAGGTGCTCTAATGGCAAATACCGCGCTAGTGCCAGGCCAGGTATAGGAACAAGACGTGGAAAATGTTAGGTGTGAGAATATCAACAATAAAAATAGCGATTATCTGTTCCTCTAAATACTCCACTGTGTTTGGCTGTGAAGCTAAACAATATCGTTGTTTGAGACAAAAAACTATTGCTTTCCGTGATTATTCAAAAACAAGTTATCCATCCCGAGAATAACGAATGAAATACAGATCAAGCAAGTATGTGAATCTTGAAGGATTCCCTGATCAAAACAAAAATACTCAACTAAAATAAGGTGTATTTATATCTCCAGCATGAGTATGAAATGCTAAATTTGCCGAAAGTTGGAAAAAATTAAGTATGCGTCTCAAACCAAGTAACCAACCGTAACAATGTTGTTTATTCTTGATGACCTCTAGTACATCCTTTTTAGTTCCTAGGAGCTAAAGTTCAACTTTTCCTCCTAGGAACTGAATGTGTTGCCTAACAACATACCTATATTTGTGTCAGTATTAGAAACGTCAATTCAAGAGCTAATTTTGGTAATAAAATGGATGACTTTTGTGTCGGTTGCAGAAAAATTGTGTATTATACAAATATCTGATTTTGGCTCTCGGTTTTTTGTATCCGCTGTAGCTCGGATGGGACGCAATTTGGGACACATGTTTATAGTAAGAAAAAGTCTAATTTTTATCCCAACAATACGTCCTTGAAATATTTACATCGACATTTGAATCATCCGGTATAATATGATATTATTTCACAAAATATTATCTCCCATGATCTGTCAAATTTCAAGCAATGACAGCTCTATCTGAGCAGAACAAAATTTCGCTGTTATCTGTTACAGCTGTAGAAAAAGTATTGTGTATAACTTGTGCGGAATGCTAATTTCCAACTCGTACTATTTTGGTTTTATCCATTGATTGAATAATTATTCAATAGGAAGTTAATTTGGAAAATACATCATTTGGGTTGAAGATGGACCGAATTAGATACCGCATAGAGGAGGCAACATATATGATTTATACAAGGTGAAAGTTAAACTATTTCCTCAACAGGTAGTTATACCTTGTATATATAAAAGAATAGATAAGATATTCACGAGAGTATTTGTTAACTGGTCTCAGAGGAAACGTGAAGGTGAATACTATGGGAATTTTTTCAGATGGTTGACTGATAAATAATTACATATTATTATTATGATTCATTTGAAATATGTTTCATCAGCTCATGTGTAGTAACAATTTTTATCGTTATCCATATCCGAGAGAAATTTCTGATGCATTGATTTTCGTAGACATATAGGCGGTCCCATTCCTCTTACTTTCATTTTCATATCTACAGGGTGTTGCTTAATGATATGTTAATATTCAAGGAGCCGATTATTCGACCCATTTCAAGAATTGAACTTTATATGAACGTATCACGTTAATTCCTAACTTTTGAGATACAGGGTGTCAAGTCATTGTTGAAAATATGCACAGATTATTTTTTGTCCACCCTGTATGTTTTCCTAATGGCAAAAATTCAGTATGCTATGTGACTTAATCGGTGAAATGTTACATACTGTGGTTATTCACTAATCTGAATGGAGTACTCAGACATCAAAATTTGAAGTCTGGTCTGGTTTTTCCGTTTTTTCTCTAAAACGAAACGTTCTATCGAGTATCAACAAGAGGATCTTTTTTGTACATAATTGAATAGCCTTTCATAACATAGTACGAAATTTTGAATTTTTTTGTCTTTGCACACTTTTAAGTAAAATACAGAAATATAAATTATTATATTCCCGTAACGGTGCCACTGGTAGAGAAAATGAAAATTTGTGTACATCATATTCTGAATATTCTTCGAAACTTCATCACCCTGTATCTCAAAAGTTAAGACTTTTAGGATATACATTCATATAAAGTTTTATTCTTGAAACGAGTCAAAATCACCCTCCCAAATATTAACATGTCTTTAAGGAACACCCAGTATAAACAAATAGGTTTGAAAGTCAGTCACTTCTCTTGGTCATCTGGTGAAGTCATCTTCACCGAATATTCTGTCATTCCTAGAACGCATCTATAGCACTAGTTTCATATACAGAGTGACCCATTTGAAAGCGGACCACCCTCATAAATTATTGATTTATGGAGCGATTTTCAAGAATACTTTTTTGAAATGTAGAGGAGGAAAAGGTGTATCTTGGAGCTGAGCGGCGTCCATTTATTTTTGAACCAAGGCCTATAAATTACATTCACAGGCTGAAAAATCCAGAGTCCATTTTAGCTAGCGTACACCACTGGAATCAGCGTTCTCTGAAATAAGTCGGTACTGAGTTTCATGGAAAAATAGTCAACATTAACGAATCTAGAGCGTGTATCTTTTCAAAGAATGATATGATGTGCATATACCGGGTGGCGATTTTACTAAATATGAACTATTGCAGCACGAGACACGCCCCCTACTACGGCATTGCAAAATATAATCGAGCCCAGCACAATCCTGCAAAATCTAATCTTTGACAGCACAACGTAGCTGATTCATATAAATAAATCGATTGAAAAAGTAGCACCTACCACGTTATATCTCATCTTCAAAGTACTTTACTTAGGCAAAACTCAGAGACTATTTATCCTCAACGAACTAACCTATCCCTGATTGCAATATTTTTGAGGAAGGAAAACCGAATGGAATGTAGAAACACATTGATTAATAATATATTTCAAAAGTTGAGTTCTTCAACAAAATTGAATAAAATGAGACTGTTTATCCTTAACGCACTAACCTATTTGACTATTGACAAATATTTTATGAAAAAGGAAAACCAGAATGAAGTAAAAAAACATTGGTGAAAAAAAAAGCTGCAAAAAAAAGTTCGAGTTCACAGCGATTCGAACCATGAACCTTCAGACTGAGAGTCGACAGCGCTAACCAGTAGACCATTTGGGTGTATGAATTTACTGCGTACAAGAGATTGACAACGAGAAAGCTTCAGTTCTTGCGTTGGAGCACAGTATGAGATATGACGTATTATGGTGGGCGTGGTTTGTGCTAGCGTGCAGTATATTTAGGAAAATCGCTACCGGGTGGCTACGGAAGTATTTCCTACGGAATATCTCAGTTATTGTATGAAGTAGGTTTGTGAAATTTGGAGCGTCGATATAATGACATAAGAGCTAGAAGTTGAGCATATTGACATGTCAAAGTTAACTTCCGTCTGACCGGAAGTAACATCAACTTTCTTATTTTAAATGAAAACCCTATTTTTTTTTCTTTTCACTTTATTCGGCATTCAATTCCCTTTCTAATGACATATCTCAAGTTGGTTAGAACACCAAGAACAAACACTCTGGCAAATTATCTCGTAAATTTTGCCTACGCTCGGCTTCGCTAGACGCTCCGCCTCGCAAATGCAAAATTTGCTTGTCAAGCAAAGTGTCAGTTTTGATCCTAATAAAACAATCTACTATTTCGATGTGTGACAGGCCGTGAAAAGTGTCTTCAGCACTAACCTCGCACAAGGCCACTCCGGTCTCCAGCTTCCCCATGAAGTTCTCCACGGCGATGTTGAGGTGGGGGTACATGGTCTGCAGCCACTCGGCCAGGTCCTCCTTCATGGCGTACAGGTACTCCTCGCTGGACCGGAAGGGCCTGAAAGGCCGCGCCTCCAACAGGACCGAACTCATCGTGAGGATCGTTTGGGAGGTACCGCGTTGGAGTTTCGAGTTTATTTAGTCGTGCCGCGCATGATCGAAACAGTTTTCTCTTCCGAAACCTGGAAGAAACATCAGAAACTATGAAGATGAATCAACGGCAACGGCATATTAGCGCCACAAATTCTCTTATTGCATCTTATGAAAATCGAAAAATATTTTGATTACTTCTTGAAATTTTGAGAAGAAATCTAAGAATAATCAATATTAATGAGTAAGACTCAGGCTATAGTATATACAATTTAATCATTTAATAGCAACTCGAACGTTTTCGGCACTATATAGGCCATCATAAGGAGAGTATCTGAAAAGTGAATTTTTCTTTTACAGGTACAATATACAGGGTGCCCGTTTTTCGAGCTCCACCATGGGGATCTCAGTTATTATGAGAGATACGAAGTCGGTTAAATTAGGGCAAAGTTGCGCATTTTGATGCTGAACAATTTTCTGAAAAAAAATTTGATGTGTCATTTTTATTTTTTGAATTATTGGAAAAAAATGGAAATTTGTAATTTTCGTTTTTATTTTTTCAAGCGAAAACCAAAATGCCTAGACGTTTTTGACTGGGACATTCTTAAGACACTTTTTCACAAGGAATCTAAATCTGTCATCGTAATTTCCATAACGTTCTTGATGCCAAATTTACAACACTCAACTTTGTTTTTTCTTATGGGCGCCATATTGGATTTTCGCATTTTTGAAAAGCCTTCTTTTACCTGATTACAATGATGTATCGCACGATATGATTGAATCCTACATGCTGATCAAAATTGGAAAAAAACATTTTTGCGAAGAGTGCTTTGGAAAGAACGGCAACAATTTTGTTTAACAAACTGAGTTTTAAAAGTTTGAGCAGAACTATTGAATTCTTGAGCTAATTTACAAGAATGCCGTTTACGAATGAAGAAAAGCGTGATATGCTTCAGATTTATTACGCCTCCCATCGAAATGCGCGAATTACTTCCGAAACGTATCTCCAGCGGTATCCAGAGAGAGAGCAACCAGCTCAGAATTATTTTCTATTGCTCCATACGAATTTAGCCGATTATGGTTCATTTGTGAAGCCTAGACGAAGGTACAACAATAGAGAGAATGTAAATGAGATGGCAGTTTTGCAAGCGGTGAGTGAAATAAAAAAAAATTACCTAGGATTTGAATACCTATTTTTCCTTTAGGTTCAAGATAATCGCTCGATTTCCACAAGGGAAATTGCAACAAATCTTGGCATATCGCATCAAGTGGTGTGGAGGATACTGAACAAACACAAATATCGTCCATTCAAAATTCACATCACACAAGTTCTCCATCCCGGAGATGGAGGTCGACGGGTAGAGTTTTGTAGATTTGTAATGAACCAGTTGGAGCAAAATCCAAATTTCTTGCGTAATGTTATATTCACGGATGAATGCAAATTTACAAACATGGGCATATTCAATCGACACAATGAACACATTTGGTCCATTGAGAATCCCCGTGAACATCAAGAACGGCGACCACAAATACGCTTCGGCGTGAATGTATGGGTCGGATTGTATTGGACGACACAATAATTGGCCCATACATTTATGAAGAAAATTTATGAAGAAAAAAAAAAGAATGCCGATCGGTATTACAATTTTCTGAGAACATTCCTTACGGAATATGTTGACAACAACATTTGTCTGAACCGGCTAAATACAGTATGGTTCCAGCAAGACGGCGCACCGCCACATAACGCTAGAAGGGTTGCAGAGTGTTTGTCAGAAATCGAGTCAGAAATGTTTCACGGCAAGGTGATTTCGAACAATGGAGACATACTTTGGCCAACGCGATCACCTGATCTTTCCCCGATAGACTATTATTTATGGGGAACTATGAAAGATTTAATTCACAAAACTGTACCCACCGATATTGATGAGCTGAGAAGAACAATAATCACAACTTTCAGGACGAAGATAAGAAGACGGGACATCTCGCGAGCTATTCAGAATCTGAGAAAACGTGTAGAATTGTGTTTAGAAGTGGAAGGGGGAGTATTCGAGCATCTTTTATAACTTTGTTTCATTTTGTTTTGCGAAGTATAAACTCCTGGCTTATCATGTCGTTCCTGAATCAAAACGTACGTAGTACGTAAATGAGTTACACGAAAATGTGAACTTTGATAAACCTAATTGTTGGCGTTCTTTCCAAAGCACTCTTTGCAAAAATGATTTTTTTCTAATTTTGATCAGCATGTAGGATTCAATCATATCGTGTGATACATCATTGTAATCAGGTAAGAAAAGGCTTTTCAAAAATCCAATATGGCGCCCATAAGAAAAAACAAAGTTGAGTGTTGTAAATTTGGCATCAAGAACGTTATGGAAATTACGATGACAGATTTAGATTCCTTGTGAAAAAGTGTCTTGAGAATGTCCCAGTCAAAAACGTCTAGGCATCTTGGTTTTCGCTTGAAAAAATAAAAACGAAAATTACAAATTTCCATTTTTTCCCAATAATTCAAAAACTAAAAATGACACATCCGAGGACACATCAAATTTTTTTTCAGAATATTGTTCAGCATCAAAATGCGCAACTTTGCCCTAATTTAACCGACTTCGTATCTCTCATAATAACTGAGATCCCCATGGTGGAGCTCGAAAAACAGGCACCCTGTATGTAAAATGTGAGGTTAGAAATAATTTGATTATGTCAGAATGAAAACGTTGAATAGAACAAAAACTCACTTGTCATATATTCTTGCACAAGATAAGCATTAGAAACAATGTAAATGTATTGAACAACATTGGTTGATTCATAAGATGTTTTTGGATTTATCCAAAATATTAAAATGGCACAATAGTGAAGTGCTGTTCCCACTACTTTCGGAAAGAAAAGACATAAAACATTAAAAATTGATAAATTGACATAGTAAAATTGACATGAAATGGAAATGATGACTGACAGTGACCACGGACCTATTGTTTTGATAGTTGTACCTGTAAAAGAAAAATTGACTTTTCAGATACTCTCCTGATGATGGCCTAGTGCCGAAAACGTTCGAGTTGCTATTAAATTATTAAATTGTATACTATAGCCTGAGTCTCACTCATTAATACTGATTATTATACTGAGTATACACAACCATTTCTCTAACCAAATCTAAGAATGTTGAGAGAATTGTGAGAGTTTGTTTTTCAGGGCGATTGTGCCTATTTCGCGGGACATACGGGGGATTGCTCAGTATTATCATTTTCGATAACATATAATCATGCTTGATATTCAATGAATATACAAGGTGTATCTAAATAACACACAAATTGATTGTGAAAAACAAACGTCCGACACCGGAATTAAAAAATCTGATGGTAACAGGTAGCAAACAAAATCGTTCGTTCAATTCTGATAATTATAAAAAATATACCTGGTTGACGGGATCTGAGGTAAGGAATAAGCTATTTTGTTGGTACTGCGTATTATTTTTAACCGATAAGTCATCATGTTGGGGGCGATTAGGATATAATGATTTGAAAAATTTGCCTCGCAGATTGGATAGACACTGCAAATCTGAAATCACAGGAACACATCTCTTCAAGTATTAAGTTCAGGTTAACTGGTAAACAGAATGTCAATAAAGCTATTGATTTGGGTGAGTCGTAGAGAGTTGTTTTTCACAATAAATCTCATATCATGCAGCCTCCTCTGTCATGAAAGTCACCAGCCGCCACTGATTCTAATTGGGGTTATTGAGTAATCCGGAGTAATCTCAATGGAAGTTCAGTTAACTTGATTTTTTGGGATTTTCTCCTTATTCTATAGATAGATAGATAGATAGAGTTTATTAATCCTTTGTGCTACAACATGTATAGATAGGATAAGTCACACATGATGGTAAAGGGTACAAAACTACAATTTAAAAAAATAAAAAAATAAATATAAAATACATAATACTAGATTAAAAGTATATGTGATACATATTCTTATATGGAACACGTTTGTTAATGTTCCATCTTCAAGTAAAAGAGAAAAAAAATAAATTAACATGTAAAACTTCATATTATTTAATTTAATTTTAATAAAAATATGCCTATTATTTCAATATATTTGTAGTGGGACGAATCAGATGATTTGCCTCAAAATGTCACTGCGTTTAACAAATTTTTCTATCAGGGAGCCTAAAAGAAAAATCAAGTAGCTTGTCAGTGACAATTTGTTCGAAAAATGTTTGAAGGAAAGAAATATAGATATATTAAGATATATTGAAAAAATATCGAATTTTTACTTATCTTTGAACGTTTCGAGACCAAATCTGCATTCTTCTGAACGGAGACAATAGCATTGCTTCCTGTTCAGTTTATACATATGGATAGAACATGATGGTATTCACTACTGAAAACTGAACATGAAAATGGTAAATTCAAGATAAATTAACGTAAATTAATGAAAATATCCTGTAACTCATTTGTAGACTAAAATCACTCATTCATATGCCAACATCAGTATGACACTGAAAAGTGTCAAACTATAAGCAGCACAACTTCCAGAGAGAAATATTTTGCATTTTCAAGTTGAGAACGCGGTGTACAGGGTGTATCTAGATAACACCGAAAAAATTCAAGAGGTGGTTCCTTGTGATATTCTAGCAAATAAAGTTTATAAACATGTGTCTTAACTTGCTCCGTTTTTGAGATACAGGATGTTGAAGTTGAAAGTATTAATTGTTTTTATTTATAATCTCCCTGTATAAGCTTTCATGGTGCGAAAATTCAGCATGGATGGATACTGAGAATGCCCCAAAATTTAAAAATGATTCTAATTGGGGTTATTGAGTAATCTCAATGGAAGTCTTGAAAACACCTACATTGAAATTTGGAGTCAAATCGAATTTTTATTGTTTCCTCAAAAACTAAGCTAGATACAAAAATCACACAGAAGATAAAAAAGTTGTTATTTCAATAGTTCAATCTAATACAGATATGAAACTCAGAAAAACCGATGGTGTACAATGACATTCACCATGAATATCGATAAATT